TGAACCATATTTAAAGGCCCTAATACCAACGTGTGAAGATGTATTCACAGGGAATGGGTACCTTCCAATACCATACAAAATATGGTTAAGAGAAGATGCAGAACCAGCGGTACATGTCACATGAGAAGTCTGTAAAAAAAAACCAAAAAAAAAAAAAAAAGACTAAAATAAGAGCTAAAAATAAGGCAGCAAAGTGTATCCTTAGGAAACTAGAAGAGCCTGTGTCCATTCCCTGGTAATTGGAGGAAAAATGGGGAGGGACTACAGCTGTCAGAGTTGAACACAAACTTTTTTTTTTTTTTTTTTTTTAAGAGAGGGAGAGAGAAAGAGAGAGAGAGAACACTTTCACTCACCCACAAGAAAAAAAGTACTGTCAGAGATGGCAGGAGCAGATGACAGAACAAGGAGCAACAGTCTCAAGCTGCGGCAAGGAAAGTTTAGGTTAAATGTTAGAAAAAACTCTCTCGCTAGGAGGATACTAAAGCACTGGAACAAGTTACCCAGAGAGCTTGTGGGCTCTCCATCCTTGGAGGTTAAGACCTGGCTTGACCAAGCCTCGGGTGGGATGATCTAGTTAGGGATGGTCCTGCTTTGAGCGAGGAGTTAAGACTAGATGACCTCCTGCGGTCTCTTCCAACCCTCATTTTCTGTGATTCTTCAGCAAATCAGATGCATCACCAGAACTTTGGCACATTATTTTGAACACAGAACTCCAAGACCTGCACTTCCAAGACACCATTTGGAAGACACTGCTTCCTAAAACTGCCTTTTGGAATATATTAAGCTCCAGAAACATTTCACCATACAACGAACCAGATGCTAGAGGGTCTGAAAGGCTATACTGATTATACAATCTAGGGCAGCAGGGCCACTGAGCATCAAGAACACCTAAGAAAAGTACTGGATATTGCAAGAACTAACAACCTTACCTTGAATAAAGACAAATGCCAGGTTCAAACAAAATACATTAAATATCTGGGCAAGCAAAGGATCTCAAAGGGAATCTTACCTGATAACTTAAAGGTTCAAATGATACTGAACGTGCCGAAACCTGAAGATAAAAAAAGGCATTCAAAGTTTGCTAGGAACGCTGAATTATGTCAACAACTTTATACCTAACTATACAGTATGCACAACTTACCTAAAGCATCTTCTCCACAAGGGCACAGATAGCGCCTGGATGCCAAACATGAAAGTGAATTTAATAATCTAAAATATATCAGCTCCAGTGCTACAATTCTTTGACCCACTAAAAGACATCAAAGTGTCCACTGATGTTTCAAATATGGATTGGGATTAGTACTATCATAGCGTCATGGGACTGATGGTTTGCCAGTTTGATATGCATCTAGGGTTACGATAGGCAGAAAAATTATATGCACAAATTGGGGGGGGAAGGAGGGGAAGATCCTTGGCCTGGCTTTTATGGATGTACAAGGATGTACAATGCCTTATTGCTGCAGAAACAGATCACAAACCACTGACTGAAATACTGAAAAAAATGACTCAAAAGTGCATCACCAGGGATACAGTGACTACTTCTGAAATTACAGAAGTATGATATGACCTTGGAGTTCCTACCTGGACATCACTTAGTTACAGGCACACTTTCATGAGTATAACCTCTATCAAACAGTCCACAACTACATGATCTGGAACATACTATGACCACACATTATGAACATGATTCAAACATCATACAATGTATCTGCAGGTATTTGGGATGACCTGGTGATGAAAAAGGATAAAGGTGAAACAGTGCAAGCGGTGATACAAGCCATAAGAGGAGGAGATTAAAAAAAAGAATCACCCATATCCCACTTACGCATTCTCAACACAAAAATGAATTTTCAGTGATCTCAGGAGTACCCACAAGTGCTACACAGGCAGTAATTCCTGCAGTAATGAGAAGGAAAATTTTGGAATGAATTCGGACATCTGGGAATGACTAAATCAAAAAGCAGAGCCAGAGATGTCTACTGGACACAGGTGAATAATGATACTGAAGATATGGTGAAGAATACATCAGAAGTATAGAGATATTGAGCAAGAATGAATAATACCTCATATGCAACTTGCTAGTCCACTGGACAAAGTGGGAATTGACATGTTTGGTTTGGGAAGACATGACAATTATACTGGGCTACCATACTAATTTTCTGGAAGTACAGACAAATGAAGATACCACCACAACAACAGTTGTCCAGCATACTAAATCTATATATTGCACACTATGGAATTCCAAAAACTGCAATTACTGTCAATGAACTGCAGTCCAAGAATAGGGAATTTCTAGACTTTGCTCAAATGTATAACTTTCGACACAAGACATCCAGTCCCAAATATCCTGAAAGTAACAGCAGGCAGAATGTAGAGCATACACTATGAAAATCTGTTTTTTAAAAAAAAGCAAAGATTGAAGGAGAAAACCCATACTTGGCTCTACTCAACTACAGACCTACTGTTGCAATGTGGAAAGTCACCTGCGGAGCTTCTCTACAACAGGTGTATGAAAGCACGACTACCTGACATGGGAGCAAAAGGAAAAGTAACAAAGGAGCCTGCAGAAAAGACTGGGAAAGTACAGTGAGATGCAGAATTACAACAAAGGGGCAAGGCCACTTCCACAGGTAAAAAACAAAGATTCTGTTCAAATTTGGCAAGATGGACATTGCTGGTTACAGCTACATTAATCAAAAAGGAGTCACCTCACCCATATTCCATGATCACAGACGAAGGATGAATCTTAAGAAAGAACTGCAGATATCTGCTCAAAACACCTGACGATCAGGACGATGCCAGTGAAACATAAACAGAGACACCAGCTGAAAATAATTAACAAGTTGACCCAGAATGTGACCAGGAGACTGAACGTTCAAATTCAGGTAAGGATGGATGTAGATAAAAGGGGTCCGTGATGCAGTACAACCGGAAAGATGCTGAAAAGGATCAGAATTGCCAAGACATGTTGGTTCAAATCTGCAATAGTTTTTATCTTATAAAATTCCAGACTGAAGCAATAATTATAAAAAGAGGATGATGTGATATAGAGTAAGTCCTCTCGGTGTCCAGGAAGTGTTGCACCCACCAGACAGCTTGAGAACATCCTGGTGCCCTCCCCAAACCACTGCAAGGGAGGTAGCAACATTGTTACCTCCTTACTGAAAACAGTTCTTCACCTGCCTGACATACATCATAAAGAGTTGTCTGCACACCACAAACCTCATCCAGGTACCGCACTCGTTACACTTACTGCTGGTTATATGCAGCAAGGTCAATTATACCAAGATCAGGAAGAGACAGACACGCAGCTGTCACGGGATAGCTCAGACGGCTGTTAGACATGTGTCAAGGCCAGGCAGTAGGAAAGCAGGCACTATTTGCAGAGAGCAAACAGCGTCCCAGAACAGATGACCACAGGCGACACTAACTCAGTGCCAGCCACCTTAATGGCTCCAGTAAGTCGCATATCCACCCCCTCCCTTGAGCACCACTGCAGTCCCCTTCCCCTGCCCAATCTGCTGCTCCTGCTTTCCGCTCCCTGCCCGATCCACTGCTCTGCTTTCTGCTCCTTCGCCTGTGCTCCCTGCCCAATCCACTGCTCTGCTGTCCTCTCCCTGCCCTACGTGGAGCGGTGCAGTGCGGTGCGGTGCTGCCCCGGTCGCCACCCCAGAAGTTGCCCCGGGCACTCGCCACAGGCTGCCCCGGCCCCTTGGCTGACGCAGTTCACGCGTCTGCAGCTTCGCCCGTGACATTTTGGGCGACGTTTCTCCCCTGGGCCTTGCCGAGTTCCCCCCGCGTTGGGGGCTGGGCTGGGCTGGGCTGCCCACCATGGTTTCACCTGGTCCAACGCGCCCGCGCCGGTGTGTGTCTGCCCTGGTCCTGCTCCCACTGCGTCCCCTGGCGCCAACCTGTGCCCACACCAGGCTGCCGCCCCGAGAATGCCACACGACAGCTGCCCGCGCCCTCCCCACGCCTCCCTGCCCCGCAGGCCTGGAGCAGCCCGAGCGGGGTCCTGGCACCTACCAGCAGCTCCCCGCTCCTCCTCTGC